ACACACACACACACACACACACACACACACACACACACACACACACATTCTGATTCAGCAATTTCCACGGCCAGTTTTACGAGTATACACACATGCACATCTTAGAGAAACTTGCACTCAGGTACCAGGACACAAGGTCAATCAGCTTTCGACCTAATTGCCCCAAACTGGAAACACTCAAATGCCCAGTATCCTAAAATGGAGAACTGTGGAGTGGTCACATAAAAGACTATTATATAGCAACAAGAAAGCACTACAGCCACACCCAAAATGAATGAATTTCACAAATTAAAAGACATAGGGTTACCTGTGTAATTCCATTCACGTAAAGTACAAAAACAGGCAAAACTAAACAGTATGTTATATTACTTAGAGATGCATATATAGATATTAAAACTAGTACAGAAATAAAGGCAAGGTAACAATAAAAATGAGGACAGTGTTTATATTTGGCAGAAAGAGGGAATTTTGACTGGGAGAAACACACAGAGAAGAGGCTCCTGGTAGTGTTCTAAGTCCTGCCTTGGGTGTTACATGGTGTTTGCTTTAGACTTATTTGTTAAGCCATTCACGTGCTACATATTTTTCTATATGTTGTATTTTCACAATCAAAAATTACTCCACGTAAAAACGCTCCTCTGTAATAGTTGGAAAATTTACACTGTAGTTTTTTTCTTTTAATTTCTATTGTTTCCACAGGGTTTTATCCTAATTTACTTTGTGCTTAACTAATTTACTCATAATTTTATCATTTAAATATTTTTGCAAAAGTCCTTCGAGTGAAGGCAGCTTAACTTAATTGCCTTCACTCCTGTCATCTCTCTCGGTCAAGAAATCCTTAGGACTGCCCCTGTGCCCGGGACTGAGTGTGCGAAAGAGTCAGATTCCCTGCACGTTGTGGGAATCTCATACATACAAGCTTACTGTGAGCCAGGCACTACGCAGGGCGCTTTACGTGCACGAGGTCATTCAGTCCTCAGGTAGATGGTGTCAATCCTCGTTTGAGAGCTGTAGAATCTGAGGTTCAGAGAAATTGCTTTTTCAAGCCCAACGGTCACGAGTGGCGAATCCTAGCCTCTAAATCAGAAGGTTAGCGGGGACTTCGCTGCCTCCTCTGTCCCTCTTCCGTCCCGTCCTTTTAGTCTGTTTTCAAAGTAAGGCGGAACGACCAGGAGCCGGTAAGGAAGCAGAAACCGGGGACACCCAGGTCCGCGAGGATCCAAGAGTGTCGGGAATATCCAATGCGAAGGGCCGAACACAGGCAGCCCCGGAGAAAATTTGGAACAATCCTCTGGCCTTTTTTTTCCTGTTCACCTCTATGCTAAATGCCTACTCCATCCCGCGCCATTCCCGCTTTCTGTGAAGGGATAAATCGAGCGCGTCGGTTTCCACTGACCTGATGCAGCTCTGAAGGCACGGGCAAAGGCAGAGGCCGCCATCTTGCCATCCCGCCCTACGGCAGTCGCATTGGGTCTAAATGCTCCAGGTCAAAAGGGAATTTAAAGAAAAAACAAAACTTGGGTGGAGTCGAGGAAGGAGAAAAAAATGAATAAAGGAACGATCAAGGGAACATTCCCTGTACTGAATGTCTTCTATACGCCAGGCTGCTCTTCACCGCTGGAAAAGAAGTGCCTATAAAGAGTGTCTGGCATATAGTAAGCTCTCAAATTTTTACGGAGCATTTGATTGACAGATCTATTTAAAGTACACAATTTGAAACACAATTTCTTTATGCTCAATTTTATTCAATTTCAGAAAAGAACCTATTTTCCATTCAAAGCTGGTGAATGTCAGGCTAAATGACTGGGAAATATCAATGTTATTAAAATTGTTTTTTTAAATAAATGCCAAACATAATTAAATGAATGTAAATATCCTAAGGATCTCTCTCTCTCTCACACACACACACACACACCACACACTTTTCTAATCATTAGCACTGATTGTTATTTGGTAGAATAGCATCGCTACTCTTCCTACCTAAACAATTCTACATTCCTTACTTTATTCTTCATAATTAGTGATCATACACTTTTTCTAATGTCATTCAAACACAAAACGACAAATCTCTCTCCCATCCTTGTTGGCTAGGATATTCCATGCATATACAATCCATGACACCATATACTAGTTGAAATGGGTAAGGATTAAACACAGGTCTCAATGAGTTCACATTTAATGAGACAAGCATAGACCATCAATACAAGGCAAATGATAGAAGATGTGGTAGGTAGAATATAACATGAGTCTTAAAGAAAGGTGAAGATTTTAACAAGAGGAAGATCATTCGTGGCAATACAAACACAAATAGGTAAGATGAGACAAGAGGGAGCCAGAGAGAAAGACACAGGATTTATTGACAGCAGTGGTTCTAACTTTTAGGTCTTAGAACCTCCTTACATGCTTAAAAGTTGAGGACCCCAGAGAGCTTTTAATTATATTTCCAATTGCTGCTGAAATGAATTACCTCAAACTTAGTGGCATAACACAATACAAATTATCTTGTAATTCTGTAGGTCGTAAGTCTAAATTTTTTTTCACATTTATTTATTTTTTTTTCACATTTATTTATTTATTTTCACATTTATTTATTTATTTTTGATAGAAGGAGATGCAGAATCTGAAGCAGGCTCCAGGCTCCGAGCTGTCAGCAGAGTCCGATGTAGGGCTCAAACTCACGAACCGTGAGATCATGACCTGAGCCAAAGTTGGATGCTTAACCAACTGAGCCACCCAGGCACCCCTGTAGGTCATAAGTCTAAAATGGGTTTCACAAGGCTAATATCAAAACATCTAGGGCTATGTTCCTTCTGGAGGGTCTAGGGGAGAATATGTTTCCTTGCCTTTCCCAGCTTCTAGAAGCTGCCTGCCTTTCCCGCCTTGTGCCTCCTTCCGTCTTCAAAGCCAGTAATCACATCTCTCTGACTTCTGCTTCCATTGTCACATCTCCTTTTCAGACTCTGGCCCTCCTC